CTCATATGTATCTCAGCTCAGGCCTACAAAATCAATCTGCATTTCAACAAGATCCCTAAGTGATTCACTGGCACATTCACATACAAGAAGTACTACTCTAGAGTAACTTCTCTCTATTGGTCCACCCGTTTGGGGGTGTACCACTCAAGTCATCCCTCTCCCTTATCATCCAAATTTCAGTTCTCACAATCAGAGTAAAGAAGGCACTTGTTAGAGACAATCCAGTGAGATACAATACTGTTTGTAGTGTTCAGGGGAAATAAAACAAAATCATGTGGGAACGTATTGAATCTTAAATGAGAAGATTCAGAATTCAGCTTATTCTGTCTTTGCCACTTAAGAGCTATATGACCTTTAGCAAATCACTTAAGCTCTCTGAGCTCTGGTATTTAAGCTTTAAAATGGGAGACTAGTAACATCTTCTCTAGCTCCGTTCCAGTGCTCAATTATGAACCTCAAATGACATCAATAGATAAAAGCCGTTTTGAACTGTGCCTAGAAATTCAAGTATTCATTCCACTTATATTGGGAATGGAATGACTTTAGAATTCTAGGACTCATCTTGGAAAGAAGAGGGTTAAAAAGAGCCTAGACTAAGTAGCTAATAAGTGCTGGGCACTTTCTACAAATTACCTTCCTTAATTCTCACAGCCACTTTCCAAGGCAGTCATCATTATTCCCAATTTACAGACAGGCCAACCGAAACTCAGAGAGATTAGAAGCCTGGCCAGCGTCATATCGTAAATAAGTGGAAGACCTGGAAATCGAAGCTGAGTTTATCTTGTTAAGCCACTACACCTTGCAGCCATACAGCTATTTGTTCAACTGCTCCCAAATAAAAAGCAAACAAAAAATATTGCTTCAGTCAGATGCGAGTTAAAAGGAGCTCCCAAATGAGGACAGGGCCACTGCACAATCAGCTTTGTCTTGAACATAAGCCCTGTCCTGTTTTAAGCACTCCCCAGTGGTTTCCCTTAAATAAAATCCACCAGGCGATCTGGCCCCAGCCTCTGTCCCCTCTCATCCATTCCCCTTTTCCTCACTTTACTCCACCACATTCGCCTTTTGATAGTTCTTTGAACAGACCAAGCTCTTCACAGGATCTTTGACTGTGCTGTTAGCTCTAGATCTTTGTTTGCCCCCCCGCCCCCCGCCTCCAGAGCCACCTTATCCTCTGCATGTCTCAGGTTCACCTTAACTGTCTTTCCTTTAACAGACCTTCTCTAAAACCTCATCGAAAAGAAGCTCTTCCTCTCACATTCTCTCAGCTTCTTATTTTCTTCTTACTAACATTTATAATTTGTGATTAAATTATTCACTTATTTTCTTCCGCATACCACACCACACACCCTCCAAGAATATAAGCTCCATGAAGCAAGAATTGGCCTTCTTGTACCAGAGACTTCACACAAAGCAGTCATTCAATGATGTTAAATAAAGAAAAGGGAAAATGGAAGAAATGAGTGAAGAGGAAGGGGTATTTAAACATGTATGTGCCTGAATTTCTTTGTTGTAAGAATTTATAAGGAGATAATGGAGTCTAGCTTCATAATATTCAATGATTCATAACTTTTCTCTATTAAAAACATATCTTTTGGATGAAAGCTCCAGTTTCAAACACTTCAAATGGACTTACATTATTTAGCACATTTTGGGAAAGAAAACATTTATTTCTTCCCCTTGGTGGACTGAGACGAATTACTTAGCATATTTTGGGAAATAAAACATTTATTTCTTCCTCCTGGGAACAGCTGAGCAGCAACTGGAGAGACTCATGGTCACGTCCCCTTCAGTAGTTCGGGATGAACAAGTGAACAGGACAGGATTCCAACAGCTCCATGCCTTGAAGCAGTGACGCTGATCTTAGGGAAGTCACTTGGTGTGAGGGCTCAGGCTATTAGTGTTCAACGTTTAGTTTTGATTCCTGAAATCCTGGATAAATCCTTGGAACTTTGCTCCAATGTGATCCATGCAGCCATACAGCTATTTGTTCAACTGCTTCCAAATAAAAAACAAACAAAAATAATGACTGCCTTGGGAAGTGGCTGTGAGAATTAAGGGAGGTGGGGCATGACTGTGCAAGAAAGGGTGACAAAAAGACTAGAAGAAAATGAGAAACAGCTCTAGGAAAGGCTGAGTTGAAAGAAATTCTAGAGAACTGAAAAAAAGTCAGAAAAATAAATAGGACGAGGGTAGCTAATATTAATCAGTCACTTTCCATGTGCCAGGTACTATTTCAAGTGGTTTATGTGCATTAAACTCATTTAATGCTTTCATCCACCTTAGGAAAGTGGTACCTTTATTATTCCCATTTTACACACAAAGAAACCGAGGCAGAGAGAGGTAATATAGTTTGCCCAGTGATCACATAACTTTCAAAGAAGGTCTTCATTTAAAGGCTCAATAAAACGGGTGAGTTGGCAGACGTATAATTCATTTGGAGTTGGAAAGGGGATAAATGAGGATAGAGATGGGATACGAGTTTATGTGGATTTATAATGATGCTATTGAGGTTTTAAATTCTAAAAAACCTTTGTATCATTTTAGAAAGTTATTCTTAACTCTGATCTCTGTTTTATCCACCCCACCAAAAAGCTAATCAGACTGTACTAGAGAATAAGTCATAAAAAAGATATGCAACAATGACTTCTTTTGTTTAGGGAAAAGCAGCTTCAAACTTGAGAGTATGTCGTTCTATCTCTACCATATTTGTAATAATTTTTTGTTATCCAACCCTGCTTGTCTATTCCCTCCACCTTGCCCCAGAGACCAATATACTTCTAGTGATAATAAAGAAGGGCATTAACATAGGAAGAGAAAAATAATTCAGAGGTTCGGGGCTGGCCACAGAAGGTACTTTCTCAGACACTATAAAATCCTTGTTCACTTGGTTTGTAACCAGGAAACTTAGTTAATAACCTTCATTTTTTCAACTCCTCTTGCAAGTGCAAATCCAATACAATTCTTCAGTGGGGCACAGTAAAAAGAAAATGCAAAGGCATTTGAAAAAGCTCACCCATTTAGATTTAATTACATACATAACTGGTGTCCTCCCAAGTGTGAAAATGCTGTAACCAATAAATCAGACAATAAAATGCTATCTGAGCAGAACAGATTTATTGAGAAGATGTGTGAGCAATCAAAATTCACTGACTTGCATTGGGTATTTTTACCCAGAAAAGTTTTTAGATGCAAGAGCAAATCCTGCTCGTTGAATCTTGCCTTCTTTTGAACACTTAGGTCAGTCATGTTCCCTAAAGGGGTGTTCTTGTGCAATGACTTTGAAGAGAACAGATTTCCATCTTAAAAACTGCTCTGTGTTAAAGAATTACTAGATCTGTGTTTGTATGTTAGATTTTAATGACCATCTCGTTCATCTAACACTGTTTCTTACGTGCTTAATTAATAACTACTTACCGAAGCTTCATTTAGTAGGAAGAGTATTTTAGATTAAAGCTTCCTTGAGATGTACAAGGAGGCTACAAACTTCTGCAAACCTCAATTTTTAAAAATGAGACACTCAGACTACCAAATATCTCTCCTAATCAGCATAATAAAAATAGACTCTTTGTAACATTAAAACTGCCAGTGATTCTGATCTTTATGAAACCCATTTTTTTTTCAGTGTGCCTTGGATTGAAATTTCTTGTGAATGAACCAAGTTGGAGTAAGAAATGTGGGAAGGCTCAAGTCTCAAGTCTTGTCATCTTTTGGGCATACTTTTGCCAAGTGTAAATTGTCGGAGGGTATATAGACTCACCACATTTTAATGCTCCCATTTGGAATAAAATTAAATGGAAAAAAAAAGTTTCTCCCTTTAATAAAACCTTGTGAAAATAATGCATTAATACAGTTTATAGCTGCTGGTCAATCGTGGTAAAGGCACAATCTGATCCCTGCAGACATGTTCCTAAGGAAAAGAGCCAGTCAGCTGAGCCACTTCCTCATTTTTTGTACATGTACAAATGAAAATGACCTTAGGATCCACAAAATCATCCATGGTTACAAGTAAGGAAATAAAACAGGTAAATAATAGTGAGGCTTTTACTTTATCATTAAATTATAATGCTCTTGGGTGTGTTTTTTTTTTTCATTGACTGATTCAGAAAGCAAAAATGGCTCTGCTTGAGTTGAAATACTTCCTTCCTTCCCTTACTTTCTCCATCACAACATAAAGCTAAATAATTTTGCTTAGACTGGCATTGTTTTTCTATTTCTTTTATTTGTTTGGAAGTTCTAGGCTCTGACAGGAGAGCTGGCATCTAACTGTGAAACAGGCTAAGTTTCTTGACTGACTCAAACAAGATCCATTTCCTTATTCTCCCTAGCTGTGGATTTTTAAGTTTGGATCAGACTCCTGCCCTTGTTTCTCTCTGTATCTATCAGCTAACAAGTACACATCTGCTCCGATGGCAACAAACTTTGCTGAAGAAATAAATAAGAATGCCTTCTTTCCCCAAATATGCTGAATAATCCAAGTCCATTTGAAGTTTTTGAAAGAGGAGCTTTTATTAAATTTATTCAGTACTCAGATTGAAGGTCCTTCGATTTTGACAGTCACTAACCATATAGACAGATCAGGTTACTTCAGCAGGCCGTTTCTTCTTTTTGTTTTGTTTTTACAAATCATTTCCCACTGTTTGTCTCCTTTCAGTTTCTCTAGCAACTATATGTTCTCTTAGACATGCTGGGCTAGGCTGAAGTTCACAGAACTGCTTAGTAAAGTCCACTGTATCCCAACACAAGAACCTTTCATGCAGAAGAGAATGCCTTGCCTTAAAAATACTTTTAAGAAATACATATATGAAAAGTGGCCCGATGTGATTTGGAATTCAATATTTGATCAAGACACTGAACTCAGAACTGCATTTTGCAAGCCTTTCATTTTTGTATTTGCCAAGGGCCTCTTTACACAAGTTACTTAAATTGACCTTTTATGCTTTAAACAAATGTGGTTTCTAGAAACCCGAGGCAAAGCAGCAAACATAAATTGTACTGACCTTCGTATACTGAAACTTCAAATTGGTGAGTGGGACAGGTAAGTCTGGCATGCCTGAGGACGACATTTCTGGTTCAGCTCCTGAAATACAGGTGACAGGCTCAGCGATTTAGTTCTGATAGAGCACTTGGCTTTATTTGTTCCTTTTTATCTGCACAGGCTAAGGTTTATTTGCATACTGGGATATGATTGGATGAACAAACCCGGAGCAAAAAGAAAATGACACTACTTATTTGTAACACCTCGTGCAGGAAGCCCTTGACTTTTCAAAGTTAAATCCTTAAGAAGCCAGCGCTCCAGCCTTGCAGCCGCATCTGGAGAAGGGCACTATTTGCAGATGAATTAATTTTCAAAGCCCAAACCTGTGGGAAGGGTTCTCAGCGCAGCTGTTCTGGCCACTAAGGCCAGTTATTATTTTTTTGGCTTCTCGTGCTCTTTAGGCTCCTGTGAAACTTTCCGTTCTCTGACAGACTTGGAATCAGAGGCTTTGAGGATTGAGAGTCTAAACCGGCACTTGCTCTGGGCACAAGCTGGTGAGGAGAGGACCCTGGCCAGGTGTCTTCAGGTCAATGTTGTCAGGGAGAAAGGGTGCTGTTTGGGGAAGAAAGGCCCTCTATGTAGACCCTATCCCAAGTCAGCATTAAAAAAAATTATACCAATCAAGTGTATTTTAACTGCTGGAGAAGTAGACCTACTGTCATTTCAGAAGCTCTAAATTATCTCCATTTTACATATGGGAACAGAAAAATCCGCAGGATTTTTAGGGAACTCAGAGTGTGCTGTCATACAAGGTCACCACAGCAGCCATATGGTCTGTAAAAACTCACTGAAAATGAAAGTAACCTCTGATTCTGGAAGTTGACTGTATTTATCAATCATTGATCCAGGCAATTGTACAAGGAGTAAACATAAATAGGACTTTCACATAACTCAAGTTCTTAAAATTAATAGTTCAAACTGGAAACATTAAAAAAAAGGGACACATTTTTTAACTGTACTACCCCCATTTTAAGTACAATACTTAATTGTTTACAGTAGGAAGGGACAGAAAACTTTGGATGGTCTCAATTCTGATTACTAAGAATTCAGGGGTGTTTTTTTTGTTTTGTTTTGTTTTCTCCAGTGAAAGTCGCCAGCTCCCCCAAATACGGGATTTTGGTAGGGAAACATAGACTCGTTGACTAGTTACTCCCAACCAGGTGCTGCGGCCTTGCTTGCTCTTTCCATCCTTACTTGGTTTTCCATTTTACAGACAGACAGAGGGTAACTTGTTTGCTATGATCACAGACGTAGTAAGTACAAGACAAGAATTTCATTTCCCAGAGAATTGGCTGTTTTGATTCTCAAAGGGAAGAGTCACCCTCACAGGCACTTAAACTTGGCCTTTTATTCATTTAATACAGGAGCCAGAAAACTTTTTCTGGGAAGGGACAGATATATATTTAGCTTCCTAGGCGAGATAGTTTCTGTTGTAACTTAGAGTCTGCATGAAAGAGACTATAGGCAATAGATACATTAATGGCTGTAGATGTTTTTCAATACGATTTTATTTACAAAAAAGGGAGGCAGACCAGACCTGGTGCATGGTCCAGCCCCCTAGATCTTAAGGCAACTGTCCCCAGGGTTCTTTTCTCCTGTGTCTCATGCTTGAAGACCAGATAGAACCTTCTGTGTCATTTCAACATTTTTTCTCTCTCTTTCTCCCTCTCTTGCTCTCAATTTCTTTCTTCCTTCCTTTTTGGAAAACTGAATTGTTTCTCTTTTAAAAATGTGTTTTGAGTTAAATGCACAATTACACAACAGCTGTTACATAACTTGCGGATTGGTGCTCCGGCCATGCCCAGACAGCTGTGTTTTGCTGCTTTCTTCTGCTCTCAGTCTAACAGTTGTTTGTGGATTCAAACACTGGTTTATTTGATGTCCAGGCAGTGAAAGCTCAAAGCTTTATAACACACTTGGCATGTCATCTCACTACTCATATGCTCATCCTTGATCATATTTTATTGAAGAATTACATAAGAACAGGTCCTTTTATACCAGACACTACTGAAGGCAGGTAAAAGGTGCAGCTTTGGGAACAGGTTACAACACCTGCCCATTTAATTTCAACAAATATTTACCAAGAATCTTTTTGTGGGGAATGCATTGTGATTAGAGTATCAGGAACTCTTTAACCTTAATCTTACTTGAAGGGCAGATCTTTCCTGCCCAGAAACCACAGGGCCTGACATCTTTAATTTTGAGGTAAGCTTTGTCCTGCCCCTAGAACTCGTCTTGAAAGAATATAATATTCCTGGGAATGGTTGCACGGATAAAAGTCTTTATCAGACCGCTTCCCTCTCTTACAGAAGGAAAATGGCTTTGGTGAGAGCACAGGGGCCAAAGAGGCACACCCCAAGACTAGACCTAGGGTTGTGTATTTTGATTACAAAATATCATGCAGGGGAGGATGAGCTGGAACTATACTTGGGGGTAACAGACAAAGGATGTTTTCTCTTCCTTTCCTTCTTAGGAAGTAGAAGAATAGTTTATTCTTTTCTTGAATATGATTTCTTCCAGCTCTTTGTGAAAACTGTCATTATACAAAGATGTGTATAGACCATGGCTTCAAGCATTGCTAAAACTACTGTCTCATTTTACAATGAATCTCTCCAGAACTCCACTCATATCTGAGTCGCTGAAAGGATAATGGAGCCTAACCTGCTCCCACCCATATGAGTAACTGCAATAAAAACCACTCAGATTTGTTAACAAACATAATTGGATGGTGAAATAAAAATAGCATCTTTTCACATGTTCCATTTTCAAAATTCAGGGTCAGTTTGTTGGAGCTAAACTTCTTTTGCTCAGTGATATCCCCCCTCCTGGATATCACTGAGCCTTCAGTGTTGCCTTAAGCATGGCTGTGTGAGTCCGCTGGTTGGTTAATTCTTTGCTTTTAATCACTGGAGTTTTTATCAGACACCACATTGTTCATATGCCTATTTAGGTTTTAATAATTTGGAAAATGTGGGCCTTGTGTGTGGTAAGAGATTATATGCTTGGTTGGCAAGCTGGTGTTACAAACAAAGGAGAAAGGCAGCGTCTGACTATGTGAACATGTGACTGTGGGCTAATTTCTGTTCATCTGCCATTCTTATCCAATTAGCAATATTTTCTCACCTCTGATTCTTCTGCTTTTCACATATCCTATCATTGTTTTCTCTTTGTATTCATTATTTAGACATGGCAAATGCCCCTCTTATTTGGCACAATCAGGACACTAATTAGTCATCAAAAGAAAGAGTAGATTAAAACCTCTATAAGGTAAGTAATTTTAGTTTAAATACATTTTGCTAAACTTTATGGACCAAAGCCATTTCTTGGAACTGGGTCTGCTGCAGGAGGTGGAGATAACCTTGCATAAATAGTGTTCACAGTGTGTTTCTTTCCTCAAAGTGGAGAGAGAAATTGAAGACACTAAAGGAATCTTTGAGGTAGTCTGAATGTAGGCTACTTTGAAATCTTCATGATAGTTCCCATATTTTTTTAACAATTGTATGCACACATTACATAGCAACTTGATGAGATTGAGTATTTGCATAGTACTCAGTTGTTTTTATAGAAATAACTCTCCGTTTCTCCTAATAAATCTACAATTTAAATAACATTTAATTAAACCATGTCATTGAAGTACTAGGTTTATGTAAATGACCAAGGTTTGGAGCAAAGATATTTGACTGTTGGTAAGCAGAGGAAACTGCCTAAGCTGAACCATAGACATAACTATCAGTAGAACTAATTTTTTTGTTGTTGTTGTTTGCTGTTTACTATTTTTTTTATTTTTAAAAAACTTTTAAAAGTCAAATATACCATATTTGGAATACTATTTACATCTCAATAAATAGTTATAAAATGAACAAAAGAAAATAACCATCACTCTGGTCAAAGAATAGAAAAATATCAGCACCCCAAACCCATTTTGTGTATCCTCCCCAACACTATCCCCTTCTTCCTCACCCTAAATGATCTATATCCTAACTCTGAATGCCGCACATTCCTTTTCCCTGATTTTGGACTTGACAAGCAAGTCATACAGTCAGGATATTTTTACAAAGAAAATTCAGAGATACACGTTAATCTGGTAAATGAGTTAAGTCATGGGTGAAGGTAAAGAAAGTTTCACAAAGAGTACGCCCCAACCCAGTAAACATAAAGAGCAAGTGCAAAATAAGTCGCAATGAGTTAGCATTTTTATGAGTAAAGGGGCACTTTTTCATCCCAACCACAGTACATATTTAATTGTAGAGAAATGGCCCTTATCCTACAGTGTTGGTCAGAGCTTAATAGCACTTGGCAAATTATATCAAAATATAAAAGAAATGTTCAAACCCTTAATCCAGGTATTCTACTTCTAGAAATTAATTTTAAAGAAACAATAAAATATGTGTAAATTCTCTTTAATATAATGTTATTTACAAAATAGAAAAATACGAAATGATTGATAAATCATGATTTAGGAAAAAAAACAAGTGAACAAATACTTAAGGACCTGGACCTGGTAAGCTTTTGTGATATATTGTGAGTTAATTTTTTTTTTTTTAAAAGCAGCTTATAAAACTGTGTGGAGGCATCCTAATAAATTGTGTTCCAAAATCTGCAATTTGGCTTTGACCTCAACTTTAGCATTTGGAAAGTGAAATAGCTGAATTTTGACTTCAGTGTCATTTTTGGCACCCTGAATTTATCCATGGTCAAAATGCTTCTGTCCCCTCTCTATATATATGCCTAAGCGACCGTTGAACAGCTGACTATTTGACCGGCCGACCAGTAGCTATGACATGCACTGACCACTGGGGGAAAGAAGCTCAACGCAGGAGCTGCCAAGCTGTAATGACTTGGCAGCTGCGGTTCTTGGGTAACGCACCTGGAACCAGAGAGGAGGGAGCCCGATTCCAGGGTGCGTCATCTGAGAACCACCCTCTCACAATCCAGGACCCCTTGGGGGGTGTTGGAGAGCTGGGTTTGGTT